TATACACTCCACTGCATACATCCCACTTTGTCGCAACCCTTCTGTGTCAGCAGGTCTGTCGCCCTAAGTGATGCGCAAACTTCGTCGCAAACACTGCTGGTGGAACCGCTCGAGATATCGTACATCCCGACGGTACATCGTCAACGTTTCACTGCCGTATAGAAGAACGGACAGTACCATGGATTTGTACACCATCAGCATCGTGCCAATGCTAAGCTGATGGTTGTTCCACACTCGGTACTCTAGCTTCCCGAATGCCACCGCTGCCTTCGACACGCGGATACGAAGCTCACTGTGTGGCTGCTAGTCAATGGACATCACGCTGCCAAGATAGCAGCAGTGGGTGGTGGTTTCTAATATTTCGACACCAGTGCTGATTCGCGGCAATATTGAAGATTGCACCTCCGGTGAGGACTGGCAGAGACAGACAGTTTTGCTTGTGTTGCTGGTGAGCCCGAATTTTGCCGCTGTCGAAGCCGGAGCACTAGTCATATGCTGCAACTAATCCGCGCTGTGTGAAAACAACGCACAGTCCTCAGAAAACAGCAACAAACGGATAGTTGTCTCACAGACTAGAGTTTTCGCGCCAAAACAACGGATGTTCATCAACCCACCATCAGTACGGTGCTCCACACGAACATTCCAAGCACAAGCGGCATCAAAAGCACAAGACATCATTGCATGAAGATAGGTATTAAACAGGACAGGAGCTAAGACACAGTCTTGCTTCACACCAGAGACAACTGCAAATTCATCCGATGTCTCTCCACTACGCTGCACTCTCGCCCGCATACCACTGTGCAGATATTCAATTAAACTTACAAACTTACGCGGCCAACCAAACTTACCCAACACCAGCCACAGTGCCTCGCGGTTCACCGTATCAAATGCCCTGGTGAAATCAACTAAAAGCGAGCACACTATCTGGTGTAGTTCTCTGCACTTCTCCTGCAACTGACGAGCCGCAAACACCATATCTATAGTGCTGCGACCCGAATGGAATGCGCATTGCTCTTCCGCCACGTTAGGTTCCACAACCTGAATGACGAGGCGGTTGAGCAGTGTTTGGGCAATCACCTCGCCCATACAACTCAGCGAGTTGATGCCATGGTAATTCGCGCAACATTGCTTGCTCCCTTTGAACTTGTACAGTGGTAGCACAAGGGCATCCTTCAGCTCAGAAGGCACCTTCACCTCAATCAATACGCGTTGCACCAAGTGGTGCAGCGCAGTCAACAATGCGGGTCCGCCGTGTTTCAATACTTCAGGCTGGATCCCGTCGGCCCCAGCACACTTGCCGTTTCGTCGCCACAAAGGCACACAATGGTTCATTTACTGCCGTTATTTAGACGGCGTTGGACAATTCCAATGATTATCTTAGGTTTATCAGCAGCAACAAGGGTTTTAAACCACTTATGCAGAGCTTGGTCTGTTAGGAGTCCATTACTAGGAGTATCTCAAAGGTAATAAGCCTAATACTTTTCCACGGACCCGGTGGTCTAAGAAGTTGGAACTGGATAGATGTAAAGCTGAAGACAAGGAATGGAGATGTAGATAATAGGTAAGGCTTGAAATTTGCCTGCACGGATAGCTTCGTCATTGCCCGGCAATACCCCATCTGAGGGATAACTACCACCTTGCCGACCTGCCAGTCAGTATGCTAAGCTGTATTGTTTGTTGAAATTTTTAAACCTTGACAAACTGACTACTGAAAAAGCAAAGTCAAAGGGTGGTGTATACCAACTGGGCCTTGCAGCCCTTGGATCAACTTGTCAGTGAGCGGAGCCGAAGCACGTCAAGAACTAATCAGTAATGGGTAAATACCTCTTGCATTCAGAATCCTAATGTTAGCGACCGTACGATGCGCGTGACTGATCCGACTGAGACATCATATGTGTGTTGATTGCGGTACTGGTTACGTTGAAAACAAGAGTCGTTGCTGGAGACAACTCATGAAGTTTGTCCCATATTATCCCTTGCAGGACGCTTTTGTGGTGGAGCCTACTCCATCCCCAGTGTAGGCGTAAGGCGGATTATTCCGTAGGTGAACTAAAGTGAGACGGGAAGGGATCGTTGGAAACTGAGGTCATATTTTACACGGACTCCTATTCTTAAAACCTAGAACTTGGGTGCGACGGATACAGTTAAAATCTCTTAAGTGATAAAATGGTAAAGACAATGAATGTGGATGAGTTTTGTGCTCAAGGTGCTTAGATGTCATGCACTACATACTGGACGTTCAAAAGGGTTGGTATGTATAGTCTATAATAGCCACTAGTGGTATTCTTACAACAGAACATACGCAGTCACTTAGAGAGTTATGGTTAAACGAAGAGTTACTAATTTCTAAGCTGGAAAAGTATCAGGTGTAGTTCGAATGGATAGAACTGATTATGTTAGTAAGATGCAGTATAAGCTTTGTGAGGAACGTAAGTTTCAAAAGATAACAGTAAAAAGCTATGTTACAGGATAGTTCGAAAAACAATTGACCCGTTTGCTCCGACGAATGCTGAAATCGAATGTTCGCATAAAGTGCGAAGTTGAAAAGCTGAGTCCTTCAGGCGGACATTTAACACGGTTGCACGGCTTCCCTAACTTCACCTGGAGGGCGCTCAAACACGTTTCATACTGGATATGGTTAGCTATGCGCAACATTTGATAACTTAATAGATGGTTGGGCAACTGGAACTGCTGCATAAAGCCGTCTGTTCTTACTGCGCACAACGCACTTTCGAGTTCCTTGCGACGATAATGGACATGAACCTTAACAGCAGCTAGATGTCACTTTTTGATGAGCAGTCATTGTTTACGAATATTCCGTTGTTGGAAACAGTTGAATATGTTTGCAAACTAGTACGGCAACTTAATGTACCTATACATTTCCAGGAAACCCTTCTGAAGGAGTTGTTACTCAGAAGCACCTTAAGCGTGCAGTTCTTCATCAACGGAGAGATGTATAGTCAAGTTGATGGAATTGTAAAGGGATCACTACTGAGACCTTTTCTAGCCTTTATGGCAACATTAGAGCATAATGTATTACGAAAAGCATGTCGATGAAGTCGTGATGTACATAAGTGATGTAGACGACACGTTTATACTCTGCAACCCGAAGGCGTAAGCAGTGAAACAGTTGGAAGGCTTTAATGATGCGCATCAGAAACCACAAATTACATATGAGCACGAGTCCCGCAACCGACTAGCGTTTCTGGACGTTGATATCATCAGAAACGCGGGTGGCTCGTGGTGCAGAGCTGTGTAAAGGAAACCAACTTGGACAGGGCAGTACAGCAAATTCTATTTTGCGGTACCCCTACAGTACACACGAGATCTATTAATCACTCTTCGCTTCCGAGCAGATGGAATGTGCACACCGGACACAATTATCAAAGAATTGCAGAGGAAGGGTGATCCGCTAAGAACGGATGGTTAACCAGATAAATTCATTCTCAAACATATGAATGAACGCAAGATAAAGCCACCAAGAATGCAATAATTGTGCGCATTCATCCCAACATCGTCAGTGCGGCTGTGGCCTTTTACAGACGCCGGAAGGACGCCGTTGAAAATAACTATTTCGCAGCTCGCCTGCGCAAAGTATTTTACAATAAGCTTTTATTCGCAAAACCTTTTCAAGCCAGGCAACCTCCGGTGACTCGATCAAAGCTTGTTTATCTTTACGCTTGCTCCTGTGGTGCACGCTACTTGAGTGATACTACGAGACGCTTATATCATAGGATTTCCGAACACATCCCGAAGTGGTTGTACAAAGGAGAAGCGATGTCTAGTAACAGTCTAGCAACCTGGAGATCCCCGGTTAACCTATGTAAAATTCTAACTAAAAGTACTTCATTGTACACCTTGGCAACCGGTGTGGATATTTTCAACTGATTGCTTAATTGGAATGCTTGACTTGCTCATCGCCATTTTTGCTTGGCGTTCGTTTCGGTTGCAACCCCGCGCCTGCCCTGTGTGCTGTGCGCGCTGCGTTCCCTTAGTTAGATTGTCCACAGTGTCGTTCCTTTATAGCTAGATAACAGGGAATTTTTTACTGTATCAATAAAAGTTTCCCTGCAACTCGATCTGTTTTTTCGAAGCGCTCTCCGGGTTCCCGGTACAGGGTACTCCCTAAAACATCTGAATCTTGTCTCACATTCCGGAGTGCAGTCACGCAGAGACGAAAGAACAATTTCAGAGTTATCTGTACTATCACTGAGCGTCTTTCGCGCGGATTCCAGTGGCATTTTCTGTATATTGCGGAAGCGAGTTACATCCGCCACCCCAAGCCAGGCTTTTGCACACAAGAACAGTCTGTACCTTCTTTATTTCTACCGTGGCCTAAAACTTCAGCTGAGATTCTTTGTACATACTTTGTTACCTTCAATGATCCCGTGGGTTATTGATTTGTTAATGTTGGAACTGAATATTTTGATCAATAAATAGCGAAACCCGGCCCATCTAGCACTCTCGTCAGCATGTTCTATTTGAGTCGTGTGTGGTATTACGGAATGATTTCTTTGATTTGCTACTCCCTCTCTGGATGCAAACTGGAAAAAGGTAAACGTAAGCTCTGAGTGTATTTAAGTACATTAACTCCTGTAAATTTTGTTTTACGCCTTCACTTCAATCAACCTAATATGCAGCCGAATATTAAATGTAATGGGAAATCTAATAGAGTACTGCGCAATCACATATGACAGGAACGGGTTTTGCGTTTCATTGTTCAATGATACAACCTCTGGTGTCCTAAACTATTCTTTAGAAAGAAGTTATTCGCAGAAGCAATGCATGACAGCTAACTTAACCAAGGTATTGTTCACTTAACGTCGTCAAACATAAATATTGCGTTGCGCAGAAGCAAGGAATCGATCCCTACTTTACACTTTCATTGCAGGGCTAAAGAAATGAGAATGGATATATTAGTACGCAACGTTTTTGAACATTTATCTAAACGGCGCTGTTTGTTAATTAGCTGAATTTCAGATGGCAGTAAATGCTACATAATGACGCTCCAATGTTGTGTGGCGCCGCGCACCCATTCTAAGGCAAATGTGAGTGCCCTGGTCGGAATATTTGCGCTGGTTATGGCGGGACTCGGAATGTCTAATGAGACTGTGGGTGCTAAAGCTTTAATTACTCATCGTTGTTAAGAGCCACGAAGTGAACACCGTTTCAATTGGCACTTTAAACGTTTATTTACAAGTACGTAGAAATGCTGTTTTTCGGTGTGTTAGCCGGCGTTGAATGAAGTGTGTTCATTGTTACATACCATGATACATAGTTTATAACATCGTACTCAGGAAATTTGGCCGTGTCTAACCACTCCGACACATGCAATTCTCATTTTTGTTAGGTTTAACTCATATTTGATTATATCGTTAGTAGTGCGATTTGGGTTTTCGTTATTATATTCGGTTTCCTTTTTGCTCATGACAATTTATTCTCACTTAGTGTTTTGTTTTGCTTACCTTGTTACAGCGCTGAAGTCGTTGTTTTACGGATTAATATTTGTAAACTGTTATTCTGATATATTTATAGATAAGGTATTTCCTACTCTCAACGTACCCCACCTAAAATTCACGGATCCCTTAGTACGCATCCATGATCTGTCATTGCTACATGCTCACTATTTTGTCTGGACCACAGATATGATAGAGAGTACTTTTTGCTTGCGAGGTAAGTAAAATTGCAGCCTCATGTATGATGGCTCTAGTCGAGGGTTCCAATGGCTTCTGCGTTTAGGTCCTATGTTGGTCGTAATAGACCGGTGGGCAGGGGGCTAAATGCTAATCAGAGATTTCGTTGGTAGTTAGGCAGTTTCATCCAAATCACTTTTAAGAGTCGGCGCCAGGTAGATGGTGCACCTGACTTACACCTTGTGTCGAGCTGGACAGCATCACCACAGCTACCGACAGAGGACAGAGCATGAGATGTATGGATGACGGGTGTGAAGACGAACAGTTTTTGGCCGTTCTAACAACAACAGAAATGAAATGGGAAATCAAAGGAAAGAGTAAATGGTAATGGCTTTCTAGGCTACATGTGACGACATCATACTTAGTGACATGGTACAAATACACTCCGACGAGCTAGGCTTCAAAATGAACTGGGCGTGTTTTAAAGTAAATAACTTTCGGATACTAAGAAGTCCGTTAGGCCTTATTAATGCCCTTACAACTTACTCAATTGTCTTACGTTATTATCTTTAGTCTCATACATTTATCATTTATTTATATTGTAGAGCTGATTAAATTGGATGCGTTGTACTCGTGTGTATGCTGAATTATAAGCTTTGAACTCCTATGGTTCAAGCTAGGGAATTTTTATATATTAAGTGAACATATTTAGTTCAGTAAGCGATTTTTACCGTTTGCTCACTTTACGAATACTTTTGGCTTGCACTGTTCTGCATGATCCACCACATGCAAATATTCTGCTTCTTATTCTTTGGAAGAAGATATGTATCTGGTTACGTTAGCTTTGAGGTTGATGTTCATGCGCTGCCTAACAAAATTTATATGGTTTCCCTTATTATGTTTTGTAATATGTAATCAATGTACCCAATTTCACATCATCAAATGCAATTATCTCGTGGATTCGCCATTCTGCACACAAACCTTATATAAATAGTAAAGCTTTTGTTGTCTCTGCGTTGTAATCATTAATGGCAAGAAGCAAATCAAATATACTTTGATCTTACAATGTTTCGAATAATAGATTGAGAGAATTATCCGTAAAAGGTTTATTAATTTAAAATCACGGAGATATATTGGCTTAGCTATCTGCCTGCATATCCTAGCAACAACCTCAGTTTCTGGAAATAATAACAAAGGTTTTGTATTGGTCATAACTGCATTCAACTGTCTGTACAGATACATTTTTTAAATTGTTATTTACAATTACTGCATGCCTGGCGACCTCTGCACAAACAGCATTGATTGCATAAAGAGGATCTAAAAATGAGAATGTGCAGGCCGCTTGAATCTCAACCGTTGCTGCTATTTAAAAAAGAAAATACACATCACTAAATTCGTATGCAAACTAACACTAGTAGTAAAGCATGGTTTAATGAGACTATCAGGAAATCAAGTGGGTTACGTAATTAACAGCTATTTTTCGGATTTGTAGCTAAAAATCTGCGAATTGGATTGAGTTTTTAATACCTTTATCAACAAAATAAGTCCATCTTGAGTTTGCTCATTTATTGTGTCCACAAACGACGATGAACGCTTCGCAACGTAGTGCATTAATTGCTGACAATCTGTGTTTCTAAAAATTGACATAAACATTTATTCTTGTCTCTTTGTGCTCCGTCTGAGTAGTAAGTGAATGCTAAAGAAACCAACGCACCAGCTCTGTGTACATATAGCTACTTATAATATAGAAGCATGAAAAACGTCGTAAATTAACAAAGAACTACTGCTGTTTATCAAACCTGTCCTAAAGTTAATGATTAACTTCGTTGTCTTGAAGTAATGCGCATAGTTTAGCTTTTGACTAGCACCAAATCTAACTACTAAAACAAAATGCCTAAAAGACCTCTTACGATTTAGCAATCTAGAAAAATATCTTATATACTAGCATAAAAGATTAATTAAAACTAAGTTTAATTGCTTTAGAAACAAACGAATCGGGAAGCTTAACTGTTGTAATTCAGACATAATACCTTCGGCATCTCTTAAGCACAAACACAAATGATTAAAAGCTACAATTTGTGTAGTCAACTTTGGGAGCGTGGTGCAAATGGGACCTGCACACGACAATATACATAATGCATGTCGATAGTAGTTTAGCTACTGAAGATCCGTGGGGTCAACATTATAATGCAAATTATACTTTTTTGTGAGAGCTGGTAAATATGCTTACCATCCAAATGGGGAATTTAACCAGTAAATACTAATATACCATAAGCTGTTGCTTTACTTTTAACAGCTTGACAAAGAATCTTGTGAGAGTAAAAGCACGAGCTGCAACAAAAATTGGTTGGGTGCTTTTGATAAGGATGGCCAAAAATGTTATATGAACTCGGTAAATATTTAAGGGATCAGAAGTTCTGTTTTATTTGTCAGGTCACACTTTGTTACATCAGGCTAGAATAGGGGCGAGAAAATAGCCTAGAAAAGCGCTTTTGGCTTTGAAACAATCCAAGCAAACAGTAAGTGAATTAACCGTAAACAAGCTGGGAATTTGTGGGACAGTTTTAGAAAACCATACAAAGCTACCTTAGCGAGAACACAAGCAAATGTTTTCAGTGCGCCAACAAAATCTTTATCTTATGTAGCCTGTAAAAGATATTTCGAATAGTGCTAACGGAAAAAGGCGCAACGTTTGCCTGGATCAAATCGAAAAGTAGGAGCATAACAGTACATAATAATCCTACTAAGTATATACAAGACAAGACAAATCAAGTTAAGATTTTGTCTAACGATGACTATCTAACTAACCTTCAATGAGTTTACCTAGTAACTTCAGTTAAATCTCTAACTTAAATAAGCATGATTGTAGTCAGCTAAAGAACAATGTTTACTAAGCGCATAAAAGACTTATTTCATCTCCTAGATTTCGTTTAGTGTACTGCTATAACCATTAATAGAACAGCTGCACTTCTTTTGTGTATGCCATTGAAGCAGTTAAGAAGGCTGCTAAAATTAGCACGGCAACGGCATTAACATCAATACATCGCTGACGTGCAATCACAGACGAGTTTGTCGAGCGTAATCATCAACCGTATCAATGAGGGACGTTTATACTTAAATAACACCAAATTCATTGATTTATTAAGACATTTACAGTTCTTTAGGAAACTTTACATTTACCGTAAGGTAACTTTGCCAACCAGTTTTTTAAACCATGCACGTTTCCGTACCATCACCGATTTTCACGTTTAACAAGCATAATTACATTTGTTAAGATCAAGATTTAACTACCCATTAGGGGTGGTCAAATGATTGTTATATCAAGGAGGTGAATGCTACTACGGCAGCCTTAATATTTTTGCTGCTTGTTCAAATAAGCTTTGTAAATTATTGCTCCGTTGTTTATACTAAGTTTGATGCGGACTGCTACGCAACACGCTGTGTTAGTTTGCTTAAGGCAGATACCTTTACTTTCTTCGAACTTTGGTTGGTGTCCATTCGGCAGCCGCGGACTGCGCTGTATAGCATATTTTCTAGCCAACATTGTGCAGTGATATTGTTTCTATAAAATCTATAAAGGAAGCATTTTCTACGTCATTAAACGCTTCCTCGGCATTTAATTAATGTTGGAACGGCAATTTTTGACTTTCCTTAATTTATGTCTCCTCCGTCAAGACATCCCTAAAGTCAACCCTTTTGCATTTCACCTTAGTAGACCGTCTGATTTATCTTACAAATTTCAATTTGCATATTTTCCTCATTCGGATTTTTCCCTGTTTTACTGTTTTCCGTCTTGTTTCCTTCTCCATCATAACTATACAGGCCACAGAACTTTTTTTACAGTATCTCATCCATGGGCAGCATTTTATATTCACAAACTAACGTCTATAAATGTCACACAGTAAATACCTTCCATAGTCTTTAAGGGGATTTAAGTGCAGGTTGAATATATTATCCTGTCTTTCAGAAAACCACCATGTGGCCCTCAGGAAGGCTATGATAAATGGCGTCATACTGTGAGGTCGCTCGTGCTTATACGGTTTTCAACCGGTGTCATCCAGATTATTAATAAAGCGCGAAATCTTTTTAGCCACCGGCATTCTAAGAATGCGTATATGCAGCAATTATTCAGAGATTTCCAATTGAACAAATATATCTCTCCAGCTTATTAAAAAGGTGCCGCTGCTTCCTGATTAATCCAATATGAATGAGACGGCTTTCGTTACCATTATCTGCACACAAGCTGTACACGCAACCGAGAGCTTTGTATTGCCCACTGAACTAGCTAATCTAGCATATCGAGCCACCGGACATTAGTAACCATAAGACACAATCCACCTGGTCAGCATCGTTGCATACCAAAGCATATCTGCTAGTTACATACAATCAGAGGGAAAAGAACTGAAAACCTGTAT